ATGGAAAGTGTCCCTGCCCATGGTGGCACTGGATGGACTTCGAGGTCCCTTTTTCATCCCTTTTCCCCTCACTTTTATTTTTTACCCTTCCTTCTCCCCCTTTTCCCCCTTTTTTCCCCCCACATTTTATCCCCTCTATTTTTCTTCCCTCCTTTTTTTCTCCCTTTTTTCTCCTTTTTCCCCTTTTTCCCCTTTTTTCCCCTTTTTCTTCCTTTTCCCCCTTTTCCCCTTTTTCTTCCTTTTCCCCCTTTTCCCCCTTTTATTTTTTCAACCCTCCTCCTCACCCTTTTTCCCCCTTCCCCCCATTTTCCCTCCCTTCCCCCCCTTTTTCCCCCTTTTGTTCCCCTTTTTCCCCACTTTTCTTCCTTTTTTTCTCTTCTTCCTCCCCTTTATTTCCCCCCTTCTCATCCCCCTTTCCCCCTTTATTATGGGATTTCCTTTTCAGGGAGCTCTGTGGGGTGAGCTCTGGTCCAGGGTGCCATCCCARTGTCCCTCTCTGTCCCCTGCAGGCTGTGGCCAGGCGCTGGACGAGTCCCAGGTGTCCCTGTCCTTCCAGGAGTGGCTGGCCAGCGTCACCGAGCGCATCCACCAGACCATGCACTACCAGTTCGAGGGTCAGTGTGCGGCCCCAGGACAGGGACTGACCCCTGGGCAGAGTGAGGGGGTGGGATTCTGTCCCTCTGTCCCCTCAGAGACTGTCCCCAGGACAGGGACTGTCCCCTGGGCAGGGTCGGGGGGGGGAGGGGGTGGGATTCTGTCCCTCTGTCCCCTCAGGGACTGTCCCCAACTGCAGAATGTGGATTGTCCCAGGGGATTCTATCCCTCTGTCCCTTTGTCCCCCCAGGGACTGTCCCCAGGGCTTTGTCCAGTTGCAGAACATGGATTGTCCTCAGGGGATTCTGTCCCTCTGTCCCTCCAGGGACTGTCCCCAGGCCATTTGAGAACACTTTGGGTGCCATTTTGGGACCATTGTGTCCCTTTTTGGGACCATTTGGATGCCATTTTGGAAACATTTTTGGTGCCATTTTGGGAACTCTTTCGGTGCCATTTTGGGCACTTTGTTGGAACACTTTGGGTTCCATTTGGGAACTCTTTGGGTTCCATTTGGGGACACTTTGGGTGCCATTTTGGGAACACTTTTGCTCCATTTTGGGACCATTTGGATGACATTTTGGAAACGTTTTTGGTGCCATTTTGGGAACACTGTGTCCCCTTTTTGGAACACTTTGGGTGCCATTTGGGAACACTTTGGGTGCCATTTGGGAACACTTTGGGTGCCATTTTGGGAACACTTTGGGTGCCATTTTGGGAACTTTTTTGGTGTCATTTTGGGAATGCTGTGTCCCTTTTCGGGAACATTTTGGGAACACTTTGGGTTCCATTTGGGAACACTTTGGTTGCCATTTGGGAACTCTTTGGGTGCCATTTGGGAACACTTCAGGTGCCATTTAGGAACACTTTTGCTACCATTTGAGATCTGTTTTGGTGACATTTCGGGAATGCTGTGTTGCTTTTTGGGAACTCTTTGGGTGCCATTTTGGAACCCTTTCGGTACCATTTTGGGGACAATTGGGTGCCATTTAGGAACTCTTTAGGTCCATTTTGGGATTTCTTTGGGTCCATTTTGGGAACACTTTGAGTACCATTTGAGAACTCATTTGGTGCCATTTGGGAACTCTTTGGGTCCATTGTGGGATTTCTTTGGGTCCATTTTGGGAACTCTGCTGTGTTGCAGGCCGGCCGGAGCCGCTGGTGTTCCACATCCCACAGTCGTTCTTCGAGGCGCTGCAGCAGCGCATCTCCAGCGGCAGCGGCAAGAAAAGGCTGCCCAACGCCACCACGGGTGAGGGAAACGGGGGAAAACCGGGAAAAACGGCAGGGAAACATCGGGAAAAACGGTGGGGAAATGGGGAAAAAGGGGAAACAGCGGGGAAAGTGGCAGGGAAACATCAGGAAAAGGGGGAAACAGTGGGAAAAACG